TAGATTCGCAGCGGGACCAACGAATCGCCTACCGATTAGCGGAGGCCCCGCTATCTCATATTAGGAGCGCGACACAATAAAGCGACCAATACACATAGTATGTAGGCGCGTACGTACCTGTTGCTGCTTTCCCTGTGCAGCGCGACGCCAATGGTGGTGGCGTCGGAACGAGATCACCGGCGGGACGGCGGTCCGGGTGCCGCCGCGACGACGCGCTCGCTGCTCCCGGTGGCGTCGTCGACGTCGTGGCGCGAGGACGAAGGGCTCGCTCCCGCACCGGCGATTCCGAGTACGCGCGAGGTCCGCGATTCGAGTCTCACGGCCGACGAGTCCCGCATCGCCGGCAATCGGCGCGCGCGCACCTGATGCACCTGACGCGGCGACAACACCGCGGCGATCCGTCGTCGGCCCGCGGTATTCACCGCGCGGCGGACGAGCGACGCGGCGGGCGTCCTCGCGGCATCGTCACGACGTAACGCGACCCGCGCTTCCGATCCTTCGCTCGTTCTCTCTCGTAACTGCCGAATCCAGCGTAAACTTGGCCAACTCGCGCCGCCGGCGGCCAACTTCAGCGCGACGCGCGTCGCGCGTCGCGGACAACTTCACTGCGCTCGCCGGCCGCGACCGATCGACGGCTCTCGCCCGAGCGCGAGACCCCGAAAGAAAACCCGAGGCCGGGGGCCGTTCGCGGCGAGCACGCGCGAACGCCGCCGGGTCACATCGCGCGAACTGTCATGCACAAACTCCGGAAACCGGATCGGCCGCGCGCGAATAATCAACGGCAACTCGCCGGCGAGGGGCGTCGGGGCCCGTCGGGGTGTACGCGCGCACCGGTCCGGCCGCGCGAAAGCGTTCCGCCGACTCGCCGCCGAGGGGTTGGGTCGTACCTTCTCGCGTCGGCACGGCGCGGCAGCCCAGCAGCACGGAGAGTCGCGAGACTCGGATCGAACTGGCCGCCGAGATGAGGCCCAACTCTCGCCCCACTCCGCGCCTCGACTGGTCGTCGCTTCTGCGATCCCTCCCCTCCTTCCCCCCTCCTGCCGCGCCGCGGATGCCACTGGACGTTCTCCTTACCTTCTGCGCCCCCCCCCCGCTGCCCCGCAGTCGCCCCGCGCGCCCGGGTCCCGACTCAACGCTCTCGCATCATTGTGTACCTCCTGTTCGCCGTCGCGCCTGCTCTCTCTCTCTCTCTCTCTCTTTCTCTCTTTGAGAAGCCTCTTCCCTTCTGCTTCTTCTTCTTCTTCTTCTTCGTCTTCTGCTTCTTCTTCCTCCCGACGTTTCTCCTTACACGCGCGCAACAGATTTTCACCCGTGATCGTAAATGAACGTGCGATCGACGACGGCCGCTTTGCGAGTCGACGGCTCGCGTGTCGATTGTACTCGCGGTTAGGCTGCCGGTGCGCGCGCGTTTCGCGGAAAGTTATCAGGGAGGGCCGACGAGAGGACCGATCGTGCCCTCCCATCGGGGGCCCCGGGATCCTCGCCGGTTTTAACTCGCTTCCCCCGTCGATCGATTCCCCTTTGTCTCGTTAGACATCGACAGCCACATGTCGCGGTGTGTCGTAGCCGCGGAGCGCGTGTCCGCGGATGAAAGATACGATCGATCCGTGGACCGTGAAGTTTGGCGACAACCAGGGTTGGGCAAGTTACTTTATAAAAGTGTCTAGTTACAGTTACAGTTTTTTTTTCACTAAAAATGTAACTAGTCACAGTTACAAGTTATTCTGGAAAGTAACGCGTTACAGTTACAGTTATTTTAAAGGTAACGAATCGTCACTTTGCAGTTACGTTCTCGCAATGAGAATAAAAATATTAAATCTGCATTTAAATTGTAAAGCGTTAATGAAGGCGCTTATGCGCAAATGCAAGGCCCAGTGCAATTTGTAGAGGTTTAAAATATCTATAAAGTAACTATTAATGTAACTGTTAAATTACTTACTAGTTGCCGACAAAATGAAACTGAGTTAAGTTACAGTTACAGAAGGAGAGAAACTAACAAAGTTGGGCTAGAGTTACTAAAAGAAGAGTAACTGTAAGGCTGGATTCAGACTGAACGCGACGAGCGATATCCAATGGGCGTACAGTCTTTATAGGAAAACTATACGCTTTCCCATGTACCCTGTACGCCCATTGGATAATCGCTCATCGCGTTCAGTCTGAATCCAGCTTTACTTCGTTACAAATAACGAGTTACTTCCCAAGCCTGGCGATAACGCGTCGCTTCGTAAAGTCTTGTGTCCACAATAAGCGATTTTTGGCGATTGTTTGGTATACATGTACGCGGAAAAAATGCTGTTGAATTAAAAAATCAAGTTGCTTCACCACAAACATAAATAATTCACTCAATTGTATTTGCTATGGATCTTAATTTTGAGCATTGAAACTAAATATCCAGATTATTAAGACAACTATCCGACGTTTTTTACTCATTGATACTGACGTTGCTTCAACCATTTTATCCCAATTACACTGATCCCGTCGATACATCTCCGTGCACCAAAGTGTACCAGAGTGTACACTCGGCGTCACGAATGCCTTTACGCCTGAAAATAGCTGTTGAGTTCAATGTATTTTGATAGAAAAATTCATTTTATTAAAATAAAGTTTCCTATAGGATATCTTTAGCGTCTTTCTTCGGGTGTAAAGGCATTCGTGACGCTGAGTGTACACTCTGGTACACTTTGGTGTAGGTACCAAACAGTCGCCAAAATCTTTTCTGTGGGTGCGGAATTATTCGTAAATAGATATTATTATTTCTGTTAATTGCATAAATACATATATTAATATCTATTTATTAATATTAACGACGAATTACTACATTTATTCATTTAAAAATATAATCATCTATTATTGATATTAATAATAAATTGATACACATATTTGTTAAAAAGTAATAAATATAATAAAGGAAAACCGATGAAAAAGTATGTCAGCTGTTTTATAAGATCGACATTTTCGTCAATGGTTAGATATTGTCTGAAACACAAACTACCCTGTCACTGCAGTGAAGCGGCGTTGAGCGCGGTTAGTACCTAAATGGGTGACCGTTTGGGAACACCGTGTACTGTTGGCCATTTCTTTTTAATTCACTCATTCCACGTAATCTTCAAGTTACTCGACGATCAATCACACATTGCATACACAAATTCTCATCCGATGCAGAATTATAAAAATCATTGATTTACAAATACGCGTCTTATCAATAATTAAATATTATAATAACGTTGACTTCTGCGCCGTTAAGTGTATTGTGCTCTCAAAACATCTTTTACTCTATTAAGGACCGGTTTTCTCAACCTCTTGTTAAGATAATAACTAATAGTTAAAGCATATGTCTATCGTAAAAAAAAAATGTTGCAACCATTCTGCTCATCGCTGTACACGTCCGTCCTTTTCAGACCCCGCGTCTCCGATCTTCGCACGTTTCTCTCGCACTTCCGACGCCCGTAATGCAACAGATAATACACACGCCATCGCCGTACATTATCGCACGATTCTATTCGCCCGGAAGGAGGCTCGTGATTTTTTCACACGAGAATTTTCGGGAGAGGGAGCTCCACTACGCTTCTCTTCTCTATCCTCGAGACCCCTCGCGCGTTTCTACGCTCGAGTCGCGCTTTTTCCCCTCGTCCGACGCCCCCGCCCCCTTAACAGCGCCCTTCTCGTTTACTCGGTTCGTAGTTCTCGGTATCCGCCTCTCTTCTTCCTTCCTGCCACGCGTTTCTCGTGCGCGTCTTTTTTCCCACGCTTAATATTCCGCGCGCTCGCCGTGCCCTCCGCTCTTGTTCGTTTTCCACTTTCTGACCGCTCGGGCTCTCGTCCGCGTGCGTGCCCGGACGCCTCGTTACGCGGCGCGATCCGATCGTCCGACCGCGGCGTAATTAAGCCGCGAAAAAGATACGTCAAATGAAAGGGAGGTAATAGGGCCGGCGGTGTCGATTTAATTAAACTGTCCAAGTTATGTTCTAGTCCTGCAACACTAGCGTCGCCGGCGCGGCGATAGCCGGCGCGGTTCATGAATACCGCGGGTTCCGCCATCGCTGAAGTTATTTTCCGCGTCGCGAGAATTGCGCCGCCGTTCGCCGACATGTAGATGCGCGAACCATTTGAATACGAATTGTTATCGGCCGACATTTCGCTCTGTTCGAATTTTAATTTCTGCTATTCGAATCTAATTTTCGCATCAAATCGAATTAATAGAGTAGTTTGCTATTATGCGATAAGCCCCTAATACGAGAGAGCAGGGTTTTTGCTAAATTAATAGGCATCATATTCGTTTCATCGTGAGTTCATTGCCCTTGGAGTGAAGTCTGCTCGGGTGGCAAGTTCGTCGTTAGATCGTGCAATCGTTGTGAATAAAGGCTCGTAGTTAAATTTTGATGTTGAAAATCTGCTATCTCATATTAGAAGCCTATCTCATAATAGAGAATTTTCCTCTATTAATATAATTTGTGTTATGTTATTGTATATTATTATATTGGTCCAAGTTCTAGTTCCGAGAAACGCGTAGCCAATCCAACCTGCAGCTCTTATGGAATAGCTGCGAGTTAATTGGCTGCACATTTTTCGAAGCTGAAACTTGGACCGAGTTCTAGCGTCGTGGACGCAGGCCGTTAAGAATTGTTCATAATTGTTCGACTATTTCCTAGATTGCTATGGTGTTTTCTACGGGGGAAACGGACTGCGACAGGCACTCGGATATTTCTCTTCCGCGTAAAAGCCGACCGGGACTCGGCGCGCTGCGAAATAATGGCGAGCGCGGCGAGCGGTCAAAACTCGCGCGAGTCCAATCGCTTTAACGACCCGATAAAAGTGCGCGCGTAATCGCAGGCGAGCGCCGACAGGTGACGAGGCGGCCTAAATATTCTAAATTTAACGCGGCGCCACGCGCAGTTGGGAAGCGAGCCTAAATGCGATTTTCGCGGTTCAGGTGCAGGGAGCCGGTGCAGCTCGTGCGCGCTCGGCCGCCGCCGGCGCCGCTCGGGCGCGCCCGCGCGGCCACGTGACTCGCGTCGCGAAACATGGCGCGCGGACTCGCCACGAAGATGGCTGCCGCGCGTTACGAAAGACCGGACGATATAACGCGGGGAAGCCGTTTCCCGAACGTTCAGACATCCGCCGCGCCGCCGTCCGCTCTCCTCAGTCGCCGGGCACGGTGGTGGCCGCCGGCGCGATGGTATACGACATCAAGTGGCTCATACCGCAACTACGGAACCCGTCCCGGCTGTGGAACATCGCGAGCAGCATAACCTTCGCGGCGGTGGGCATTTTTTCCAAGATCATCATAGGTAAGAGCACGCCGTTCCGCGTGCCGGTCCACGCGCGGGATCCCCGTCGGCGCCGGCGGTCCCCGCGAGCGCGGACTCGCTCGCGCGCGAGATACGGCGCCGCCGAGCGAGCGGCTACCGGGCCGATCCCGGGCGAGGTGCATGCGCGCGGGCCTCCTCGTGCGCCATCGCCGTGTACGGTCGCGCGGAACGTGCACGAAGGTTAAATCGAGGTGCGCGGCGCCCGGGTTTCGTCGCGATTCACATGGACGACGATCGCCGCCGTCGTCGCCGTTGCCGTCGCCGTCGCCGTCGCCGTCGCCGTCGTCGTCGTCGTCGTCGTCGTACGGAAAAGTCGAAACTGCACGGGGTACGGTCGCGGATTCCCGAAGGCTGCGCTCCAACGTCGTTACGGGAGAAAGAGAGTTAAATCGCTCAAGGATAATTGACGTATTTCCATTCGCGCGCGGCTTCCCTTTCGAAGCTGATGATTGCCATCGACGGAATTTATATAACAGGATGCCCCATTTTTAGCGCGGCAGATATTACACACTTGTCCGCGCAGAATGAAATAACGTACTTAATTAATTGTATCGGCAGACGTGTATCTCTAATATTCGTACAATATTACAGGTAGTTGTCCCGCGGCTAAAAATACTCAATTAGCACTACTTAGCGCTGAAAGCGTATCTACACTGAAAAAAATTTCTGGTTGAATATGGACGAATCAGATAATTCCTTTAGGATTTACCAGAATTCCTGTAATCCTACATATTCAACCAGAAATTTTTTTCAGTGTACATATTTTTGTTGATTATGCGCCGAAGGAAGCTAAAACGACGCTCTCAGGGCTAAGTGGCACTGATAACGAGCACCCGGACGTACCCTAAATAACGTGGAAACGTTTTTCGTCAATGTAACGAGGATTGTTCGCTACAATTGCAGCCTTATTAAAAGTCCTCCGTCATAGTATTTAAACGGACAGTGACGCAATTTAGAAGGACACTTGTGGAGTTAGCCGTCTTATCAAACGTTAAAAACAAAAAAAATTACACGTTGAAGCCCCCGTCCATTCTCCGGTTTTTTCCCCCCTTACAATTGTAAAAGAAGCCGCGTTTACACAAAGCACTGTACGTCCGCGGAATATACGCGTTCAACAATCACGCGAGTTGCGATATGAGATGATGAAAATAAACGTAATCTGTCAATATCATTTTTACTGAGAAGAGGGAGAGAGAGCGAGAGAAAGAGAGAGGTCAAAGCCGTTGTATCGTCATCAATCATTATGGTTAATTACAGTGGCTATTGCTTGCTGAATGGACCGTATCTCGTGCAACGTTCTCGACGACGGGCGCTACGCGGAACGTCGTAAACAAGCACGGTTTTCAAAATAAGGCATTCCCCGCGCCTGAAATAATCTTGGAATTAACATACGGAACGTGTATGACATGTAATCCATCATGTGACGTGACAGCACGGTGATTTTTGCAAGTTCTAGCTGCCAGGAAACGATACCCTTTTTCTCCCCGCGAATTCTAATGTGCTAATTAAAACGTTTATGACGGATCGACATAGGTTCGTAAGATCGTCAAATTTGCATCCGGAGCTGTTGAATAATCGAGTGGAGTCGCTTACAACTGGACAATGGGCGCGCACTCGCAGAATGAGATTCGGAGAAAAAAACGTGCATTCTATTGTGCGCGTATATCTCGACTTAAAATAAAACTCGAGGCGCACAATTTTTAACTGTATACTATATGTATATTTTATCATATATTTTGATCAAGTGGCAATACAGTAAATTAATTTCGTAAGAACAAACAGCGGCGCGGTGAAAATGAATTTGAAATAATTTTGTAGAGACTTCGAGTTACGCGCCGAGCTCGTTTCCGCAATCTTTTTCCTCGTCGTCAGCGCAGATTAACGTTCCTTTTGTTTTTTTTTTCCCATGACGTTTCCGCGCACAATACATCATTCATTTCCGACATCGACATTTGTGCATGACATTCATTTTTTATTCGCATTTACACGTAGAGCAAAGTCCCCTATTATGAGACAGGCTCCTAATACGAGATAGCGGAGTTTCTGCTACAATTAACAGGCATCATCTGTTGGGTCCACCGTGAATTTATTGCCCCCGGGGTGAAATCTGTTTATTATAGTAGTAAATTGATTGTTAGATCGTGTAGTCGTTGCGAAAAAAAGATTAAGCACTGAACTGGACGTTGAAAACCTGCCGTCTCATAATAGATGACTTTTTTTCTGCATTCATTTTAATAAACTCATCGGTTCACACGGAAATTGTATAAATGTGGGCACTTTTTGTGCCCGAGTCCGATATTTCTGCCGCTGTCCGCATTACTGATCAGAAGTAATTCGACAGACGCTATGGTAATTTATTCATTTGCGCAATAAGCGTGCCAATTTGCATACGTGGCAAATCTAAAGGTTACCCGTATACTTTCTGACTTGCAACAACGGCCTTTAGTGATGCAGTCATGGCAATTTAATACGTAATTTAATCACACGCTGACCGCAGCGCCGATCGTTTTGTCGCACGTTTTTTCAAAGGATAAAGTCTCATGTTCTTTTTATTCCTAGGCAAAGCATTAACCGTCGTTAAGTTCAATCGCAGCGAAGCATTAGCCGTCATTAATTCTCTCGCTCTCTGTTCTACTACCTCAGCTGTTTATGTAATTTAAAACGATCGTAAACGAAGCGGATAATTACGGATAACGCCGAGATAACGGCGTAAGGCAAGTGGCAAACGGAAATCGTAGTATTTTCACAAGGGAGGGTATCCCGATCCGTGCGAGGGTCTAATTTCCTGAGTCTGCCAAATCGACAGGGGAAACGCGGCGCCGATTAAGCCCCGATGATTTTTTTTTTTTTCGCGCCGCGCGGTCCAGGATCGGAGAGGCGAAGCACCCCCCGCTCTTCCCGCGGGAAACCCCCGGGACTGCCGCCGCGACCGAATTAATCCCGGCGCGCTCTAATCTAACCAAGAATCTCTTCTGCATTTAAGAATGGCTGAACAAAACGACGGTGTACAACAAGCACATTATCGTGCGCGCCTTAGACCTCCGGCCGAAAAACGTTCCGCTCATTACCGTGTCGAATCATCACAGTTGCTTCGACGATCCGGGTATATGGGGTAAGAGACTCTGTTTTTTTTTCTCCCCCACCCCGCCACGTCGTTTGTTAAATGCCTCTCGGCATTGCGCATATAATAACGTATCATCAGTTCCTCCCTTCCTCACCCCCTTTCCCTCCCGTGCGCTCGGCCTCGCGCGGGCCCCCAAGAGCCGCGCGCAACGCGGCGGCTCTTGATTTATCGTCTCGAGAAATTGAGAAAAATAAAATGCGCGCGAATCGTCCGGGGTGCGAAGTGCCCGGCCGTTCGCCGCCTGACAAAACGGCAAAACGCCCCGAAGGCACTCTTTACGCTCGCCGGGCCGCGCGAGGCAGTTAGAGCCGCGGACGCAATGAAACGTTAAGGACAGAACACAATGCCGCGTCGCTTTGATGCGAGGGAGGGAGGGGGGGGGGGGCGGAAAGCGCACCCGGTTGTCGGACAAAGAGGGATTAGATAAATCCGATCGTCTCTCAACCGAGAAGAAGCGTCATTTTTTAACCCTTTCTCTACCGCGTTGTTTTACGTCGTTTTTGGCCCATGTTTTTTTTTTCAGCAATGGAATGCGCGCTGAATCATTTGGTCTATTTCAACTTTTTTTTTTATTTTTGGTAACTTTTCAACACGGCGATGTGACGCCAACGGGCGTTTCTTCAGGTTTTAATTAGGCGATTCTTGGCGACTGTTTGGTACGTGTACCAGAGTGTACGCTCGGCGTCGTGAATGCTTTTACACCTGAAAATACACCGTTAAGTTCAATATAACATACACAAAAATTTTCAATAATTGGAGCACTATTGCAACTTTTGTTTGAAACGTTTTTCCGTATCTTTCAAACTATTGGAGATATTTGCGTGGATTATTTTAAATGAGACACCCTGTATATTTCAATCGAGATTATTTTATGATCGTGATACATTGAGATCATCAAACAATACCCATTGAGATATACTGCGCCGTGATTCCTGCGCCCAGCTCGTACGCGTTCATTTCAGTTTAGTTTTTATTGGAGCCTTCGCTAGTCATCTATATATTATTAATTTTAACCCTTTCATTTTTTGCCTTTCCGATTCCTTGGGATCCCCAAGGATGAGATTTTGGTACTATTTTGACACTTTTAAGGATAATTTACACCCACTTAGCTGATCTATACACCTACATAGACCAGCGATAACCTACTTCGATGACATTATATTTTTTACTCCCCCCTTGAATCTTTAATTCTAAAAATTTACTTTAGCTCCTACTTAAAAGGACCTACTTTCATGCTAGATTGGCAAAAGTAGAAATATCCGACACTATCAGTTTTAAAGCAGGAGTTAAAGGTTCAACATAGAATTAAAGGTCAAAATTTCGACTCGGGATTGCTTTCTTCTTTAATAGAGGAAAGTCCCCCGATTATCGGATAGGCTTGTAATATGAGATAGCAGGCTTTCAACGTCCAAATTCAATAACAAATCTCTTTTCGCAACACAATCTAGCAATGCATTTTTTATTAAACAGATTTCGCTCCAAGAGCAATAAATTCACGGTGGAACCAACAGATGATGCCTATTAATGTTGTAGGAACCTCGCGCTATCTCTAATTAGGAGCCTATCTCGTAATAGGGGACTTCCCTATATTGGTTAAAATTAAATTACGATAGCTAGAGCGCGACAAATTAGCTTCTTTCTTAATTACTCGAGTAACAGTGTTGAATTTCCCTTTCGAGATATGGAGCACCGTTAACCGGCGATAAGTAGCGACGACAAAACGATTAGCTTACGATAACTGATCCATCGTGAGCGGAGGACAATGGCGATAAGCGTCCGTTAGTTGACAGCGTGATACAATAATAAACGTGAACGATACTCCGTATCATTCGTCTATTGACCCGTTTATCGCGCAATCTCGCGTTTTCATCCTCCGTATTTCTGTTCTTGGTTCCATTGCGTCCCTGGCGTTTAATTGCGTGCCGATAATTGAGAGCGACTCTTTTTTTTTGTTCAAACTTTTTCCTTCCTTTTTTTTCTTTTAAGACAAATGATGAGCTAGTCTCGACACCCTTCACGTGCGCCTTGTCCCTTTTTTGAGACGTATTTTTCTTTCTCAGAACGACGCCGATATGCGATCGAATGAAAGAATTAAAGAAAGAAAAATCTCTGAACTCATTTAGCGACCCTGGACGTCCGGCACGGGTTTAATCGACGTAAGATACGATGGTCGCTCGCCGCGCAGGACATTTGTTTCACGAATGTCTGGCATTCCTACTTTTTCATGCTCGGCAAGTGCATACCCATCGTCCGCGGCGACGGCGTGTATCAGGCAGCCATGGACTTCTGCATCGAAAGGCTGGCCCTTGGCGAGTGGGTGCACGTCTTCCCCGAGGGAAAAGTCAATATGCTTAAGGAAGACATGAGGTTCGTACTCGAGTTACTTTCGTAAATTCTCCGCAAATAAGACCGGATAACGCGATCTGCGTCGCCTAGAATTCACTTCGCCGCCGTGTATGCTCTGTTGTACGGTTAAATATGCAGAGACCTTTGTGATTTGCAATTTATCCTTTTAAATCGAAGGTAAAAATTGATTCGATGAGAGTTGGACAAATTTCTCTGTGGCAACGGATCGTTATATTAAATATTGTCTGATTTCTGAGAGAGAGAGACACACATCTCGAAGAGATCGCACAAGATCGCCTTTTAATACTGATACGCGAAAAAAACTGGCGTAGTGGCTAGAGATGAGCATGTTGCAGAAGCCACGTTAAATAATAAAACGCAGCGAGAATATACAATCGATGATGTTGTTTAGGTTGAAGTGGGGCGTGGGTAGATTAATATTAGAATCGCCCGTCACGCCTATTGTAATTCCTATCTGTCATCTCGGTATGGATGAAGTACTTCCCAACGAGCCGCCGTATATGTTTAAAATGGGAAAGAGAGTTACCATGAATTACGGCGAGCCCATAGACTTTAGCGGATTGCTGGCCGAATTGCGGGAGTCGCAGGCGAGCGAGACGGAGGCGCGAAAAGCGATAACCGATCACATTCAGCAAGAGCTTTCAAGGTAGCGCCCCGTAATTAAATCACCCTAAAACGTTAACGAGCGTCTGTTGAATAATGCTTTTTGAAGGAACAATGCCAAGCGAAAAGCGACAAAAGAAATATTTCAAAATTTTCAGATTGAAAGCAGCAACGGAAAAGCTTCACTCTAAGTTATGACGAAGATGATGCCTATTCCTTCGTCTCCCTCCGTCTAGCCTTAATTTGCCAAATATATAAAGAGAAATTGATAACGTCACAAAAGTGAGATTTGTATGTAACGTAATCCCGTGAGAAATTTGTATATGTAAACGTAAATCTTGTGCGACATCAGTTTCCTTTTTAATGCGTACATTCGTATTGTAATAGTATTTTTGACAATATTGAGTATCGTAATGTAAGCATCAATTGTGTAAGAAGTCATTTTGCGAAACTGACGTTTCCATCGTTTTTTTTAATAATTATTCCACGTAACTCTCCGAGAAATCGCTTGATACTCTCACCATAATGTATCCTACATATTTTTTAATATGAAATTAAAATGTTTATTTCACGATATTAATTTTTTTTTTACTAATTTCAAGGACAGACTGTATCGATGAACTCCGTTCCCGGTTGGTTTCATTATAGAGATTTAATTTTTAAATGATAAATAGTGACTAATAGCGGATTATTTTTAATTATAAATAATTATAATTATAAACAATTTTTTATAAGCAAAGAACTGATTGCATTCATCAGAGATTTGTAAGAAGATAAGGTGCACAAGCTTTCGATACATTTTGCTGATTTCCTTCTCGGAGAGTTACATATTTCTTGGATAACGTCTATTGTACACATATACCGCCTTGTATAATAATTTATAAATATCTGTATACAGAATGTCCCACTTCTCGCGCGCAAAAGTAGGATTTCTTGTATATTATATATGTACATAGTACGACTAATTATAACGCTATCATTATGATTTTACGATGATTGTCAATAAAAGTTTTGATAGTACAAGCGGAGACTACGTAATGCAACTAAGGTTTAATAACGTAACGTATAAAATGAGAAAAATCGTGCCAGTACCTCATCCATTATTTTATTTTTCGGAGATCTAAGGTGTCACTATTAGCGCAAGTATAGCGCACACACGGCCATTATTGATTATACGCTTCGCGCTCTCGTTAGAAGCACCGTGCCAATTAATCGATTTCTACTCGTTTTGCTAAGGGCCGCGTAATAGGCATTCGCGTTTGCAGTTAAGATAAACGAGCACCGAACAACTAATGCACAGGGCGCCTACGTGGAAGAAACCACTCGTAAGTTGTAATGTTGTAATTTTAAAATTTGCATAAAAACTCGTTTGAAAAAGCATGGATGTGGCTGCAGCATGGACGGGAAGTGCGTTTTTACTTCACTTTATAGCTGTGAAAGAAAACCAGAAGCCAATGTATTCGTTCGCCGATGATGCATGATTGTTTTTTTTTTTTTGGATATTTATTGCGATATATTTAAGTCGTTACAACAGCTGTTATTATGACAATCGCATATCTATGTACGCTCCCGTGCGTGTGCGTATATATACACAATGTCGAATACACATACTTTTATACTATACACACGGACTGCTATCAAAATTTTTGGGGCTATTCGAACGTGATAAATTTATATATGTATCATATACTTGTTGAATATATTATTAAGTATTAAAATATTTCGTCTTTCTCTATCGTCTGAAATAAAATTGTCTTGTTTGTTTTATCGTTTGACATTTTCTCTTAACAGTAAACGCAAAATTTGTTCCCTTCCCTAGATTACGTCAGGTCTCTACACGACTTCTGCATGCTATGTACACTACCTGTTTACAAATGTGTGTAAGGCAATGACTTCGAAAGGGAGTAATCTAAAGTAACGCATAAAAATCATGTCAATTACGAAGGACTCTTAAAGAGCTCGGTAGTAATCGATTCTGAACATTTCATTACTATGTGCACAACACAATTTAATACCATAAAAGAATATTTTTCTTGCCGATAAACGTTAACTTTATCGTCTTTCGGCCCAACATGTTTTTTTTCCAAAAAATATCTATATTATGAAATACGTTAATATATACTCTGGTAATGTCGCAGTATTTTTTGTTTACGAGATTTCGTTGAACGTAAAATTTCGTGAAATTACAAGAGCTTATTCCTTTATACTCTTGAGTGTATATAGACAACCTTTTGGAAGCTGATACCTATATAACAGATCGTGAAATATATGCATACATGTATATTTCCCCGCCTTATTATTTGTATGTTTTTCGGATTATTTTCATCGCCATCTGCGTCTGAAATGATCTCACGAATCATAATTTCACCAGTTGCCATATACATCTAAGACAATAATAAGTGTATTAAAACGTGTGATTATATATTACAGGTTTCGTTATAATATCCACAGACAATTGATTATACAGAACATATACTTGACTGTTGTCGACATATAGAAATAGATTACGCTATGGCCTACACAACTGCTGGTATCATATTATCTATCAATACGAAGACCGCATATCCCTTGGCACGTTTTTAATTTGTAAAACTGGACATTCCGGTCTTACGAGCGATACAAAAGCGGCGTACGATCCTTGCATTGTACAGTACGAACACGAACGAGAACTATGTATTTATATTTATATTTATATATTATGTATGTCATAAACTTTGAATAGACAGAACAGTAGATGAGTATAACGAGAGAAGATTTACTTAATATACATACATGTTATCACCCCATTGTGTATCACTGCTTTTTCTTTTAATTTTCTTTTTGTATTCAAACAAATTATATATATATATTTATATATTTATATATATGTGTGTGTATAGAAAGAGAAAAACAAGCCCTGATTAACAATAATGTAAAATCGATCGCGAAACTTGGCCCGCGTTAAACAAGATATGTTACAAAATTCTATCATTATAACTGCATAAGGGGGATATGTTGGACTAGAAGATGGAATTTCTCGAATAATTATATCGCGAATGTGTATCCTTGATTCACGGTCGAGCAGTCGTGAGAGTCAGTCAAAATAAATCTAAAAACGTTTCAAATTGCTCCCAGCATAATTACTGTACGCGTGTGTTCCGTAAATTAGATAATATACAATTATATACTCCTATTATTACGTTATACAATATCTTTTCTTTTTAAATTACATAATCTCTAGTGTATACGTGTACGGAAAGAAGACGATATGAGACGACTCGTAAAGATGGCAAAATTTCCAAAGCAATTGATATTTTGATTGGTTGTTCTGTTTAGGCTCGTTCCTGGACGGCAGATCTAATACAGACGAAGCAAGCATTGCATTATATTTCGTAAAAACGCAGAGTAGGCCAAACGGGACTAATATATCGACCATATGTGTATATATATATATAAATATCACAAATTTAATATAGTGTATTCTTAATGTAATTGTTTTAAGCTAAAATCTTGTTCACGTAGCGAGCGTCAATAAATAACATATCGAAAATTTTTTAATTCGTAAAATGCAAGTGTCGCGATCGAAAGGAAACGATATTCAGTATCATTAGGAGTACCACAAGAAGCACGATACAGCTATCATTCAGACAACCTTTGAATCCACCATGATAATCTACAGGTACATTATCTTGTCCTAATCAAGCAAGGGAAGTTCTTTGTTCGACATTGCGGTCACGCCAGATTTGAGACAAACAATCCGCGTGACCCTTCGCTTCTCTATATCTAACGTTTCTAACGATGTCCATTTGTAATCCTTCGCAGTCTAGTCTTGTCGAAATTGCAAATACTTCCGAGTAAAGCAGCACGGTCATTTGACGATTTTGATACACTATTCGACGCACCACCGGATGCTTCACGTGGCGGTGGCAACGAGGGTGGTGGTGGTGGCGGAACACCTTTGCCAGGAACTGCATTTGCGTGCGTAATTTCCACAGAACCTTTAGTAGAAAAAATTTAAGTGACAGTAGACTCTTCGTGATATGTAATATGTGCATTTTACTCTAGAAAATTGAATAAAAATAATTGTCTAATTTGTCTCTTCAAGAAAACGAGAGTGGTCGATATCTGTGACAGCTCTATATTGTGTACAACATCAAAAGATCTAAAAGTATGCATTAGATAAGCTAAGGGTATAATTACAAAAATACTTCTCACACGGAAAACCTGCAAAGCAGTGATGAGGAAAAAGTCATACAAAATGAAAATGACAATGAAAATAAAGATAATGGTAGGGATTCGTTAAAGATATTTAAGATCTGAACGCTCGAATGACCTACGTGAAAGGAATGACCTCAGTACGCGCCATCAACTTTTGTGTCCAGCTAATCAAGAGATGTAGAAACGTAAATGTCAATTAGCATCGACGACAACAGCGACGAGGAAGCATTATAATGACTTACGAAGCGACGGAGGAGTCAACGTTCCAACGCTGGTAGCCGTGGAAGTACTTGTCGGGCTGTCTGAACGCTCCGGGCTCTTACCATTTATTTGCTTCGTCCCGTTCGTACCCAGTTGCGAGGAAGAACGTTGTTCTTGCGCCAATTTCTGCTCTTTCTTCTGCAGGCAGAAGAGTACAACAATCGAAAATTGAGATTTGTATCTCGGCAAATAAGTTATTTTTCGTTCCGGGTTCCTTTTCACTTGGTTGTTTCTACACTTACCAGTTTATGCTTCCGTTTCTTCATTTCTTCTTCCGAGCTCATCATTTCTTGCACCTTGACAAGTCTCTTCTGATGTCGGGCGACTTTCTGTTCATCGCGCAGGCGTTGCTCGGCTTTGTTTACAGCCTCCTGCAGAGCCTCCTTCAAGTGATTGCTCAGTTTGAAGTACGGCTTCTCCACGGTGCCAATTGCTGACGCAGCGTGCCTCGCCGATTCGAAGAACGGATGTTCCAGCAGCCGTATCACTGTTGGCAGATCTTGTTTCAGAGCTTCCGGCGATAAGATGACCTCCAACAAATTCTTTAGATTCGCTTCGCAGTGCGGCAAATCGGAGCACGTTGCCTCCAAAAGCGGTCGTCCGAACGCCATTTCGTACAAAACATGCCCGAATGAGTACACGTCAACCTGAGTCTGTCAAGAAAAACATATCAAACTTGATAAAAGAAAAACGCCGATACACAGAGGGAATATTTCAAGTCTTTTAGGTTTAAAAACGTTCAATTATTACCACTACTTATAGAATAACGTATATCTCTTTCTCCATATATTACCGTGGCATGTAATTTGCGCCTTTGAACCACGTAAGGCCGGTAAAACGCTGGCAATCCTAGGAGCCCGTTCTCTATATCCAATAATTTAGCGCATCTCGGAGTCAAGAGAACATTGCCGGTGTGTAAGTGCCCATAAGGTAATCCCTTTTCATGAAGAAATCCTAAAGCTTCTAATATCTACAAATCGTAGTGTCAACCATTACGAAGAGTAACTTCGAAGTGTCTCGTTGCAATATGCGTTTGCGCGCAATAACCACTAACCTGATAACCGTACGTGGCAATTTCTTGTACTGTTAACGCTTTTATTTGTTTCGGATTTCCATACTTTTTTATAAATGGCTGCTTAGGCTTGGTAATGCATAAAACGTCACGCAATGTGCCAGCCGAGTAGAAATTTCTTATCGTTAGTGCCCCGTTGTCTGTGACATGCTGGTGTACTATAGGTTCGATGTAAGTGTGCCGTAGAGAGCCTAGGGTCTTGAATACCCCATGTATATCCTTGTCCTGCAGGTGCTTGTCAGGGCCGAACTCGACCCAAGCTAGCAGAAGCTCCTGCTTCGGATTCTGGCGATTTTTCACCGTATAATAATGTTTTCTCAACCGCCATCCCATGTCGGGGATGGCCTTGCCTACTTCGAAATTGGCATCGCTCCGTAATGCTAGCGACACTTGTTGCAGTGCGATTTCTAGAAAAGACAGAGGACGTTCACATTTCGCGCATTTTTGCTGTCGCGACTAATGTCTAGAGACACGCAAATTGTACAATTATTTACACAACTGAAATTAAAAAGACAGACACGGCCAACCTTTTTCGATTCACGGAGCCACACTCAAAACTTTTACACTCTCCGCGGGCCGAAACAGGCTTTAAAATGTTGACATTTTTTTGTATTCTTTTATAAGGAGAAAACAAAACCCTGTTGTTAGTGTTAAATTTAAACATTAACAAAATTAGTTTCATCTCACAATTTTTAATTGAAGAAAAAAACTGAAACTAGTTTTATAAAACATTAATGAAGTTTTTTTTCTTTTAAATATCGCGGTCCAGGTGACACCGGCCATAAGTTGGCCACGCCTGATCCAAGATATTAACTGACCAGGCTAACAAATCAGCCTGTTGAACAACATTGCATATTGCGTTTTCATAGCGAGCAGTCGGGCTTACCATGTAAGGGTGCGGTGTAATTCTCAGGGTCTAAAAACTTTTTCATGGGAAGCGAGGATGCCAGTATAGGATTCATTAGTACTATGTTTAGATAATTCTGCAAGTAAAAGGCGGATTATCTTCTACTTTCTATCGTGTCGCACGAGCGCGGCGCGTAAGAGTGAACGTCTCGTTATTAGGTTGAACCTGCAGTGCTATTTGTCGCTGAGCTATAAAGTCTGGCTCCATGTTACCGATGATCCTCTTTGGCGGTAGCGGCAGGTCGAAGCCGGACACGGATAGAGCTGCGTTGAGCTGTACGAAGTCATTGTAACGTCGGCTCACTCTCCAGGATCGTTCGGGAAGCGGACCTCTCTGTGTTTTGATTACGTATTCCTGAATGCACAAACCACAGTTCTCTCTTAGCACGTGTCTAGCGACTCGAGGCGAGGTATAAGATCACTAGGACGTTGCAATGATGCATTAGACAATTATTTTTGTTCAGTTTTCTAGAGCGAAATGTATCATTGTAACGTTGGCTCACTCT